TGGTTCGGACATGTAGAGAGAAATGGAGTGAAACAGAGTAACTTCAAGGGGTGTATCAGTGTGTAGTGGGAAAGGGAAAGGCAGGGTAGGGGTCGGCCTAGGAAAGGTTGGAGGGAGGGGTAAAGGAGGTTTTGTGTGCGAGGGGCTTGGACTTCCAGCAGGAAAGCGTGAGCGTGTTTGATAGGAGTGAATGGAGACAAATGGTTTTTTAATACTTGACGTGCTGTTGGAGTGTGAGCAAGGTAACATTTATGAAGGGGTTCAGGGAAACCGGCAGGCCGGACTTGAGTCCTGGAGATGGGAAGTACAGTGCCTGCACTCTGAAGGAGGGGTGTTAATGTTGCAGTTTAAAAACTGTAGTGTAAAGCACCCTTCTGGCAAGACAGTGATGGAGTGAATGATGGTGAAAGTTTTTCTTTTTCGGGCCACCCTGCCTTGGTGGGAATCGGCCAGTGTGATAATAAAAAAAAAAAAAAAAAAAATGGAGAAGTGAATGTTTTCAGATACTTGCGAGTTGACGTGTCGGCAAATGGATTTATGAAGGATGAGGTTAATCATAGAATTGATGATGGAAAAAAGGTGAATGGTGCGTGAGGTATATGTGGAGACAAAAAACATTATCCATGGAGGCAAAGAAGGGAATGTATGAAAGTATAGTAGTACCAACTCTCTTATATGGGTGTGAAGCTTGGGTTGTGAATGCAGCAGCGAGGAGGCAGTTGGAGGCAGTGGAGATGTCATGTCTAAAGGCAATGTGTGGTGTAAATATTATGCAGAAAATTCGCAGTGTGGAAATTAGGAGGTGTGGAGTTAATAAAAGTATTAGTCAGAGGGCTGAAGAGGGGCTGTTGAGGTGGTTTGGTCATTTAGAGAGAATGGATCAAAGTAGAATGACATGGAGAGCATTTAAATCTGTAGGGGAAGAAAGGCGGGGTAGGGGTCATCCTCAAAAAGGTTGGAAGGGGAAAGAGAGGTTTTGTGGGCGAGGGGCTTGGACTTCCAGCAAGGCGTGCATGAGCGTGTTAGATAGGAGTGAATGAAGACGAATAGTATTTGGGGCCTGACGATCAGTTGGAGTGTGAGCAGGGCAATATTTAGTGAAGGGATTCAGGGAAACTGGTTAATTTTATATAGCCGGACTTGAGTCCTGGAAATGGGAAGTATAATGCCTGCACTCTGAAGGAGGGGTTTCGGGATACTAGCAGTTTGGAGGGATATGTTGTGTATCTTTATACGTATACGTATATGCTTCTAAACTGTTGTGTTCTGAGCACCTCTGCAAAAACAGTGATTATGTGTGAGTGAGGTGAAAGTGTTGAATGATGATGAAAGTATTTTCTTTTTGGGGATTTTTTCTTTCTTTTTGGGTCACCCTGCCTCAGTGGGAGACGGCCGACTTGTTAAAAAAAAAAAAAAAAAATTCAGCTGTAATCTGAATGTGCCAACTACATAGTTACAGATTGTTATGCTCTATGATGTCCATGTCCTTTCAGAAAAGATGCTAGAGAGCAAGTAATGGTGAAGGTGTTTTCTTCTTTGGAATACTGTATCTTGGCATAAAATCCGTAAAAGAAACTGAAAATACAGTGGACCCCCGCATAACGATTACCTCCGAATGCGACCAATTATGTAAGTGTAATTATGTAAGTGCGTTTGTACGTGTATGTTTGGGGGTCTGAAATGGACTAATCTACTTCACAATATTCCTTATGGGAACAAATTCGGTCAGTACTGGCACCTGAACATACTTCTGGAGTGAAAAAATATCGTTAACCAGGGGTCCACTGTGTATATCATTACGTAATTGAAGTACAGTGGACCCCCGGTTTACAGCAAGTGCGGAAATCGTACAATTTGGATTTTGAGCACTTTTTTCGGCGATATTTCTCCCTGCGTTTCGTACATCGGCTCAGAAACTGACGGTACCAGACGCGTCCACCTGGGCAGCTCATATGTTCGTGACTCACTCTTGGGCACAATAAATGTCTTATTTTAGGTTAATATAGACATTTTCATTAATCCATCTATATTTTCTTCAAACTTATACTATAAGAAACACGTTACATAGCATATAAATATGCAATGTTTATATGCTATAAAGGGGTTTACCTAGGGTGGGGTAGGGTGGAGGGTAAAAATTACGTTTTCTCTGGTCCAGCTTCAGAGAAAACATGTATGAATCTGCGTTGGTCCAGTAACCGCTCTTAACCCTTTGACTGTTTACTTTGTATATATGTCTTACGCACCACTGTTTCTGACGTATTTAAACGCGTAAATTCTAGCTGCTTCAAATCAAGCAGGAGAAAGCTGGTAGGCCCACATGTGAGAGAATGGGTCTGTGTGGTCAGTGTGCACCACATAAAAAAAAATCCTGCAGCATGCAGTGCATAATGAGAAAAAGAAAACTCTGACCATTTTTTTTAATTAAAACGCCGACTTTGAGGTGTATTTTTGTAGAGTATTTATCGTTGTATTCTCGTTTTCATGGTCTCAGGTGATAAAATGGAAAACATATTACAGAAATAGGATGATTTTCATTACTTTCATGATGAAAACGACCTTGAAATTGAGCTCAAAGTAGCAGAAATGTTCGATTTTTACCAATGTTCAGGAGTAAGCAAATTACACCACACGTCCAATACACATCAACTGGGGAGTCTAATATTCTTTCACTAGTGCACTGATATTATTTATACCATTTTTACAATAGTGCATTAATCTGCATAACAGTAAATTTTGTATTTTTTTGTAAGAATAAAAAATCAAAATAGAAAGCAATAGTAATATAAGAGAGGCCTAGAGACATGACTAATGAACAGAGGATATGTCATTTTAGTGCCAAGAATGTCTACATTGTTTATTCTGGACCCTATTTTGAAATTGGCATCTTTTTTAATTTGCATAAAACTGGCCAAATTGCCAATTTCTGACCACTTTATTGGGTAGTTCAAATCGGTAAATGGGCTATTTCTTGTACTCAACTGATAGAAAAAATGAAGTTCTAAAGAAATAGCTATGAGTTTGGTCAACTGGAACAATGGAATTGACCAAAAACAGGGCTCAAAGTCGGCGAAATTGCCGATGCGTATATGTTGCCGAGACCGTTAACTTTGCGGGAGCGTAATTCCGTGAGTTTTGAACCAAATTTCATACTTTTGGTGTCATACCATCGGGAAAAGATTCTCTATCATTTCATAAGAAAAAATTTTTGTTTTTTTTCCCAAAACTTTTGCGACATAGAATGACAGTTTCAGAAAAGGGCTTGCAACAGTCAAAGGGTTAATGGCACACAAGGCTTTTGTTTACAATTCTCAGCATGAATTATTCATAACTTCTCCCTTTGTTTATGACGGCATCTAAAGGTAGTTGTTAGAAATAATTAAACTCAGTAAACATGGTACGTCGATGGTAATAATATGGCTGTAGGCCACAATGTATGTAGCCAGTAGGTATACACCTGGGATGTAGTCCCTCTGGGACTACAAATAAATACTACTCACCAACAAGTCTTCAATAAAGGTATGTAATGTTCATTTATCATTAAAATTAGTCATTTAAATATATTTCTCATTGTTTTCTATATGTAAAACTATAGTTATTCTCCATAAAATGTATTTTTTTTTTAATATTTTTGGGTGTCTGAAATGGATTAATTGGATTCACATCATTTCTTACGGGAAATATTACAGTGGATGGACCCTCGCCTTACGATGGCATTGCGTTACGTTAAATCTGCCATACGATACATTTGAATGTAAAAATTTTGCCTCGCCTCACGCAATTCGTCTGGGATGCGTCCCACGTGTGGCCTCAGCGCCAGTGTTTACAAGCCAGCCAGTGCAGTCGCATCCATGCATACATTTGGTACATTTCACATTGTCCCAGTGTTTTTTGTGCTCGTAACTGCAAAATAAGTCACGATGGGCCCCATGAAAGCTTCTAGTACCAACCCTGTGGTAAAAAGGGTGAGAATTAGTATGGAAATTAAGAAAGATTTTGAAGGGTTTGGGGCTAACCCTGGGAAGCCTATGCCAGTTGTGGAATCCATTGTGCCTACTTCAAAGATTAAGGAAATGTGTGCAAAGTGGGTTGAACTGCAAACCTTTATGGATGAAAAGCACCCTAACACAGCTATTGCAAGCCATGCTGGTGACTATTACAATGACAATGTTGTGGCCCATTTTAGGCAAATCTTAAAGGAACGGGAGGTACAGAGCTCTATGGACAGATTTGTTGTGCGACAGAGGTCTAGTGGCTCTCAAGCTGGTCCTGGTGGCATCAAAAGAAGAAGGGAAATAACCCCAGAAAAGGACTTGATACCTCAAGTCCTAATGGAAGGGGATTCCCCTTCTAAACAATAATAACTTCCACACTCTCCCTCCTCCCATCCCATCAATCATCACCAGATCTTCAATAAAGGTAAGTGTCATGTATTCTATTCTTAGTAGAGTATTAATTGTGCATGTCTTCTTAAGTTTGTGTGTATTAAAATTAACATTTCATGTGGTAAAATTTTTTTTTTTCAGACTTTTGGGTGTCTTGCACGGATTAATTTGATTTCCATTATTTCTTATGGGGAAAATTAATTCGCCTTACGATAATTTCGGCTCACAATGAGCTCTCAGGAACGGATTAATATCATAAGGCGGGGGTCCACTGTACTTCGGTTTTCGACCATTTCGGATTTAGGCCAACCTTCTGAAATGGATTAATTACAAAAACCGGGGGTCTACTGTAACAGGAAATATGCAAAGAACATCCAAAAGTCGAGTAAAAATAAAGTGTTTGCAAAAAGATGAATGTGCTGATCTAAAGACATATCTGATGCTCAGGAAACTTTTATATGAACAACTTTCTTGTAGAGAAATAAAAGACAAAATTAAATAAAATTAAGAGCAGTACGAATGCTTTTCTCACATGTAAATATTAAGTGTCAATAAATGCATAAATATAACTAAGCATACAGATATAAAGCAACATTTATGTACCCCCCAACGCACCCCTCCCATCTTGAGGGGGTGAGAACACGTCCTCCGAAGACATAAATAATCCGCTTCTCAACGTCCATCACCATCTGGTGGTCAAAGATAAGTCGTGGACCTCCCAAAGCTGCTGTGTCTTCAGTAACTTGAGTCCATTTGTTATTCTCAATGTCATACATGTAGAAGTCACTCTGAGGATTGAAAAAAACAACAGATTGCAGAGTAAACCAGATAATATCCAATACCAAAGAAAAATACCATAATACCAAACAAAAAATTAATAAAATCCTCTACTCACTTCCTCCAACCATTCCTGGGACAGCCCCCTATTCCTTCTACTTTCTTCCCCGTATTTATACACCCTCTTTGTCATTCTTTCTGTTTTCAAACCACCTAAACAACCCCTCCTGAGCCCACTCAATTATATCCTTTGTAACACCACACCACCTTTTAATTTTTATGCTTTCATACAAAATAAACATAATTACAGTATGAAAATAAAATAAATGAATTCACAAATTGTTATAAATTATTTATCAAATTAATTATTCTAATAAGCAAAAATTAATACATACTGTACAGCAATATATTAATTTTTTATTTTTATTTTTTTTTTTTAACAAGTCAGCCGTCTCCCACCGAGGCAGGGTGACCCAAAAAGAAAGAAAATCCCCAAAAAGAAAATACTTTCATCATCATTCAACACTTTCACCTCACTCACACATAATCACTGTTTTTGCAGAGGTGCTCAGAACACAACAGCTTAGAAGCATATACGCATAAAGGTACACAACATATCCCTCCAAACTGCCAATATCCCAAACCCCTCCTTTAGAGTGCAGGCATTGTACTTCCCATTTCCAGGACTCAAGTCTGGCTATATAAAAATAAATTAATAAATCATTTTTTAATTATTATACTGAAGTATTCGCTATATTTTGTTATGCTATACCATACTGTGCATACTTACTTTAAGGTTTTCTGGGAGACGTAGGGCAGAATCTAAATAACGACCAAGTGTAAAGATCTGCCGCCGATCAGAATCCAGGCACATCTTGTGACAGGAACGAGCACTAGGACCACCCTATATAAATATGCTTCGTGAGAATTGCTGTAGGTATAAACAGAAGAAAAAAAAGAAAAAAAAAATTACAAATTCATAATATAGCTTTATGGCCTCTTCAATAAGCAATATACTTTATCTAATCTTGATAACTGCTTTTACAGCCTTCATCTCTAGCAACCTTCCCTTGGCTTATAGTCTAGAAGTTACAATACTATCGCTGAAATGATTCGCAACTAATTCACAAACTGGAGATGAATCTAGATGATGTTTTGGACCATTCTGAACTTAATAATGGTCCAAGATGGATTTGAATGTTATCTAATTTCATCTCCAGTTTGTGGATTAGTTACAAATTTTTTTTCATTGATGTAGTGGTAACATGATGTTTCCTTAACTACTCAACACCAACTATCTTCATGTCTTCAGGTGTAACAGAGATTCTGCAGCACCACTCAAAATATTTGCTGAGGAACTATTTATAATAGTCCTAATATTAAGTGCAATATTTATAGTCTTAATTTTCACCGAGTTTAGTTGACTTGTCTAGCAATGCACTTACTGTGCACTGTTTTGTGTGAAACCTTACGAGCTTGTGTAAAAAGTTAAAAGGATATAAAGAAATACTATGCAACAAAATAGCTTTCAAAGCTAAGAAATATTAACCCTTTCAGGGTCGACAGGCCCTCTCAGAAAATTGTTCTCAGGGTCGCCCAAATTTCAAAAAAAAAAAAAAAATTATTTTTGCTTATGAAAAGATAGAGAATCATTTCCCGATCATAATGACACCAAAAGTTTGAAATTTGATGGAAAACTTACGGAATTGTGCTCTCACGAAGTTAGCGGCCTCGACGATGTTTACACATCGGTGATTTTGCCCACTTTGAGCCCTATTTTCGGCCAATTCCACTGTACTAGTCGACAAAAATCATGAATATTTCGCTAGAACTCCATTTGTTCTATCAAATGAGTCCAAGAAACCACCCATTTATCAATTTCAACTACCCAATACAGTGATCAGAATTTAGCAATTTTGCCAATTTCACACAAATTTCAAAAGATGTCAATTTCCAAATAGGGTCCAGAATAAACAAGAAAGACATTCCTGGCACTAAAATGACATTTCCTCTGTTCATTAGTCACATCCCAACGCCCCTCTTACATTCTTTTGCTTTCCACTTTGAATTTTTATTCTCACAAAAAATATTTACTGTTATGCATACTGCATTAGTGTAAAAAATGGTATAAATAATATTGGCGCACTTGTGAAAGAATATTAGACTCACCAGCTGACGTGTATTGGACGCTTAGCACGTTTTGTTTACTTTTGAACTTCGGTAAAAATCTAACATTTCTGCTACTTTGAGCTCAATTTCAAGGTACTTTTCATTGTCAAATCAGTCAAAATCATCTCAATTTCTGTAATATGTCTTCCATTCTATAGAATGAGACCAGGAAAACTAGAATATGTACAACAATGGATACCATACGAAAATACAGTGCAAAGCCGCTGTTTTAATCCAAAAACATGGTCAAAGTTTTTTTTTCTCATTACACACTGTGTGCTGCAGGATTTTTTTTATACTGCGCACACTGACCACATAGACCCATTCTTTCATATGTAGGCCTACCAGCTTTCTCTCACTAGATTTGAGGGCGCTAGAATTTAGGCGTACTAGTACGTCAAAAACCCTGGTGCGTAAGCCGTATTAGTACGGCCAAAACCCTGAAAGGGTTAATTACAAAGAAGGATTAAAAACTGATGATATCTCATGTTGAATGACAGGAGTAAAAGGAGACATAATAACTAAATAAGATTCTAAAACTATACAAAAAAACAAAAGAAAGCTTAGTATCACCAACTATAAGCAGGAACGAAAAGAGGTTCCCCAAAGGGTATCACAAAATTTCCTTACAAATAGTGTGTTTAGCACTATAGTGCTAACCACTGAGCATGGGACACTGCAAACATAGCTCTGCTCCTGTAACTATTAACAGGTAACCACATAATTCTTGTAATTAAAAAAAATGTCTATTTAAACTGTCATTCATACCTCAGCATTAGTGTCTCTGGTAATGCAAGTCCACTCTTGGGATGGTATGTGATAAGACCATAAATCACTTAGGTCTTGCATTCCATCCCATCCACCAAATAAGTATATAGTCTGAAAACAAGAAGGTAATCTTGAACTACAATTTCTAAATAAGAGAAATTCCAGTGCTGCCACAGTACTGCTAATGTATGATAATTGTTTACAAACTACAATACTATTTTCTTACAAAAGAAAGCTGAAGCAGCAAAAATGCTTCACACTAATGAAAAGGTGTACCTGTAACTGAAGTACTGTATAGAGGAAGATAACATATTTCATACAATATAATAAATAAAACTTTAAACTATTGGAAATTTGTAATAATGTTCGTAGAATTACCGACAATATGTAAAGTAAAAGGACACAAGTGCAACTAATGTGACATTTTTATTGTGGAAACGTTTCGCTCTTCAGGCTTGACAAAGCTTCTGGAGAGCGAAACATTGCCACAATAAAAAATGTCACATTAGTTGCACTTGTATCCTTTTACTTTACATATTGGAAATTTGTTTATTTATTTTTTAACACGGCCATTTCCCACAGAGGCAGGGTGACCCAAAAAGAAAGAAAAAACCCAAAAGAAAGAAAAAACCCAAAAGAAAGAAAAATTTTTCATCATCATTCAACACTTTCACCATCATTCATACATAATCACTGTCTTTGCAGAGGCACTCAGATACTTCCCATTTCCAGGACTCAAGTCTGGCTAATCAGTTTCCCTGAATCTCCTCACAAAATATTACCCCACTCACACTCGTCAGGTCCCCAAAACCATTTTTCACTCCTATCTAACAAGCTCATGCACGCTTGCTGGAAGTCCAAGCCCCTCACCCATAAAACCTCCTTTACCCCCTCCCTCCTACCTTTTCAGGGATGACCCCTACCCTGCCTTCCTTCCCCAACAGATTTATACTCTCTCCAAGTCATTCTACATCGTTCCATTCTATCTAAATGACCAAACCACCTCAACAACCCCTCTTCAGCCCTCTGACTAATACTTTTATTAACTCCACACCTCCTCCTAATTTCCACACTACGAATTCTCTGCACAATATTTACACCACACACTGCACATAGACATGACATCTCCATTGCCTTCAGCAAACTCCTCACTGCAGCATTTACAACCCATGCTTCACACCCATATAAGAGTGTTGGTACCACTATACTCTTGTACATTCCCTTCTTTGCCTCCATGGATAATGTTCTTTGTCTCCACAGATACCTCAATGCAGCACTCACTCTTTTTCCTTCATCAATTCTATGATTTACCTCAGTCTTCATAAACCCATCTGCTGACAAGTCAACTCCCAAATATCTGAAAACATTCATTTCTTCCATAATCCCTCCCTCCAATGTGATATCCAATTTTTCTTTATCTAAATTGTTTGATGCCCTCATCACCTTACTCTTATCTATGTTCACTTTCAACTTTCTATCTTTACACACACTCCCAAACTCACCCACTAACCTTTGTAACTTTTCTTTAGAATCTCCCAAAAGCACAGTATAATCAGCAAAAATTAACTGTATCAACTCCCATTTTGTAGTTGATTCCCCATTGATTCTCCCGAACACCCTAGCATTTACTTCTTTTACAACCCCATCTATAAATACTGTATATTAAACAATCATGGTGACATTGCACATCCCTGTCTAAGACCCACTTTTACCGGAAAGTAATCTTCCTCTCTCCTACACGCCCTAACCTGAGCCTCCCTATCCTCATAAAAACTCTTTACAGCATTTAGTAACTTGCTACCTATTCCATACACTTGCAACGTCTGCCACATTGTTCCTTAATCCAATCTATCCTATCCATAAATGCAATGAAAACTTCCCTACCTTCATCTAAATACTGTTCACATATATGTTGCAATGTAAACACTTGATCTACACATCCCCTACCCACTCTAAAGCCTCCTTGCTCATCTGCAATCCTACTCTCTGTCTTACATCTAATTCTTTCAATAATAACCCTACGGTACACTTTACTTGGTATACTCAGTTAACATCTTTCAACAAACCGACCATATCCCACAGAAGCAGGGTGGCCCAAAAATAAAAACAAAAGTTTCTCTTTTTAACTTTAGTAATGCATACAGGAGAAGGGGTTACTAACCCCTTGGCTTTCGGCATTTTAGTTGCCTCTTACGACACGCATGGCTTACGGAGGAAGAATTCTGTTCCATTTCCCCATGGGGAACTCAGTAAACTTATTCCCCTACAATTTTTACAATCTCTTTTGTCCCCTTTCCCTTTATATAAAGGAACTATGCATGCTCTCTGCCAGTCAATAGGTATCTTCCTCTCTTTCATACGTTTATTAAACAAAAACACCAACCACTCCAACATTATATCCCCCTATGCTTTTAACATTTTTGTCATGATCCCATCAGTCCCAGCTGCTTTACCCCCTTTCATTCTACGTAATGCCTCACACACCTCCCCCACACTCATCTAGTATACTCAGTAAACTTATTCACCCATAATTTTTACAATCTCTTATATTCCCCTTCCCTGTATATAAAGGAATCATACATGCTCTCTGAAGGTACATAGGGATTAGTAGAGAGCATGGAAATTTATATTGTTATATAAATGCTGTACATGAAAATGCAGGACAAGAACCAGGAGAGAGAACAAACTGTCTTGTAAAAGAAATGTTATAATTTAATTTCTAAACTGTTCAAATTAAAAGTTAATTTTGTACCTGTGTATTGGTGTCGATACACATTTGGTGGCCTCCTCTCATACCTGGCCGTTGACGACTACTGGCAGAGCCTCCAGGAGAAGGAATGATTGGGGTCCATTGAGGTTTGTACTCCTGCTGACTAATATATTGTTGAAACAGCCCTTCTGTATGAAAATAAAATTTATAGTTTACTTATAATGCAAAATTAGTCAAAATACATTGGAAATATTGTCAAATATGAATTATTTTTTTATTAACACATTGGTCGTTTCCCACTGAGGCAGGGCGACCTGAAAAAAAAAATGCTTTCATCATCATCTGCTTCATCATTGTCTTGCCAGAGGCATGCTGACAATACAGTTCAAAAACTGCAACATATCTCCATCCCTCCTTCCGAGAGCAAACACTGTATTTCACACCTCCAGGACTCAAGTCCGGCTAACCAGTTTCCCTGAATCCCTTCATAAATATTACTTTGTTAACACTCCAACAGCATGTCAAGTCATTAAAACCATTTACCTACACTTGCTCCTAACACACTCATGCAAAGGTACTGGAAGTCTAAGCCCCTTGCAAACAAACCCTTTATCCCCTTCCCTCCAACTTTTCCTAGGATGACGCCTACATCATCTTCCTTACAATACAGTTTTACATGCCCTCCACGTCATTCTATTTCATTCCATCTTCTCTAAATGTCCGAACCACCTCAACAACCCCTCCTCAATCCTGTGGATAATACTTACATAATAATAACAATTGTTTTTTTTTAACAAGTCGGCCATCTCCCACCAAGGCAGGGTGACCCAAAAAGAAAGAAAATCCCCAAAAAGAAAATACTTTCATCATCATTCAACACTTTCACCTCACTCACACATAATCACTGTTTTTGCAGAGGTGCTCAGAACACAACAGTCTAGAAGCATATACACGTATAAAGATACACAACATATCCCTCCAAACTGCTAATATCCCGAACCCCTCCTTTAGAGTGCAGGCACTGTACTTACCATTTCCAAAACTCAAGTCTGGCTATATAAAAATAACTGGTTTCCCTGAGTCCCTTCACTAAATATTACCCTGCTCACACTCCAACAGATTGTCAGGTCCCAAATACCATTCGTCTCCATTCACTCCTATCGAACACGCTCACGCACGCCTGCTGGAAGTCCAAGCCCCTCACCCACAAAACCTCCATTACCCCTTCCTTCCAACCTTTCTGAGGATGACCCCTACCCCGCCTTCCTTTCCCTACAAATTTAAACACTCTCCATGTCATTCTACTTTGATCCATTCTCTCTAAATGACCAAACCACCTCAACAACCCCTCTTCAGCCCTCTGACTAATACTTTTATTAATTCCACATCTTCTCCTAATTTCCACACAACGAATTTTCTGCATAATATTTACACCACACAATGCCCTCAGACAGGATATCTCCACTGCCTCCAACCGCCTCCTCGCTGCTGCATTCACAACCCAAGCTTCAAACCCATATAAGAATGTTGGTACTACTATACTTTCATACATTCCCTTCTTTGCCTCCATAGATAACATTTTTTGTCTCCACATATACCTCAATGCACCACTCACCTTTTTTCCCTCATCAATTCTATGATTAAACTCATCCTTCATAAATCCATACGCTGACACATCAACTCCCAAGTATCTGAAAACATTCACTTCTTCTATACTACTTCTCCCCAATTTGATATCCAATTTTACTTTATCCAAATCATTTGATACCCTCATCACCTTACTCTTTTCTATGTTCTCTTTCAACTTTCTACCTTTACACACACTCCCAAACTTGTCCACTAACCTTTGCAATTTTTCTTTAGAATCTCCCATAAGCACAGTATCATCAGCAAAAAGCAACTGTGTCAATTCCCATTGTGTATTTGATTCCCCACCATAATTTAATCCCACCCCTCTCCCAAACACCCTAGCATTTACTTCTTTTACAACCCCATCTATAAATATATTAAACAACCATGGTGACATTACACATCCCTGTCTAATATCTACTTTTACCGGGAAGTAGTCTCCCTCTCTTCTACACACCCTAACCTGAGCCTCACTATTCTCATAAAAACTCTTTACGGCATTTACTAACTTACCACCTATTCCATATACGTACTTGCAACAGCTGCCACATTGCTCCTCTATCCACTCTATCATATGCCTTTTCTAAACCCATAAATGCAATAAAAACTTCCCTACCTTTATCTAAATACCGTTCACATATACGCTTCATAAATCTGGAGTATCTAAGAGAGTTAGAGCAATGGAAGGGGTAGCAGTAATATTGAAGGATCAGTTATGGAAGGAGAAAAGAGAATATGAATGTGTAAATTCAAGAATATTGTGGATTAAAGTAAAGGTTGGATGCGAAAAGTGGGTCAAAATAAGCGTGTATGCACCTGGAGAAGAGAGGAATGTAGAGGAGAGAGAGATTTTGGGAGATGTTAAGTGAATGTATAGGAGCCTTTGAACCAAGTGAGAGAGTAATTGTGGTAGGGGACCTGAATGCTAAAGTAGGAGAAACTTTTAGAGAGGGTGTGGTAGGTAAGTTTGGGGTGCCAGGTGTAAATGATAATGGGAGCCCTTTGATTGAACTTTGAATAGAAAGGGGTTTAGTTATAGGTAATACATATTTTAAGAAAAAGAGGATAAATAAGTATACAAGATATGATGTAGGGCAAAATGATAGTAGTTTGTTGGATTATGTATTGGTAGATAAAAGACTGTTGAGTAGACTTCAGGATGTACATGTTTATAGAGGGGCCACAGATATATCAGATCACTTTCTAGTTGTAGCTACACTGAGAGTAAAAGGTAGATGGGATACAAGGAGAATAGAAGCATCAGGGAAGAGAGAGGTGAAGGTTTATAAACTAAAAGAGGAGGCAGTTAGGGTAAGATATAAACAGCTATTGGAGGATAGATGGGCTAATGAAATATAGGCAATGGGGTCGAAGAGGTATGGGGTAGGTTTAAAAATGTAGTGTTAGAGTGTTCAGCAGAAGTTTGTGGTTACAGGAAAGTGGGTGTGGGAGGGAAGAGGAGCAACTGGTGGAATGATGATGTAAAGAGAGTAGTAAGGGAGAAAAAGTTAGCATATGAGAAGTTTTTACAAAGTAGAAGTGATGCAAGGAGGGAAGAGTATATGGAGAAAAAGAAAGAGGTTAAGAGAGTGGTGAAGCAATGTAAAAAGAGAGCAAATGAGAGAGTGGGTGAAATGTTATCAACAAATTTTGTTGAAAATAAGAAAAAGTTTTGGAGTGAGATTAAAACAAGTTAAGGAAGCCTGGGAGAACAAATGGATTTGTCAGTTAAAAATAGGAGAGGAGAGTTATTAAATGGAGAGTTAGAGGTATTGGGAAGATGGAGGGAATATTTTGGGGAATTGTTAAAATGTTGATGAAGATAGGGAAGCTGTGATTTCGTGTATAGAGCAAGGAGGAATAACATTTTGTAGAGTGAGGAAGAGCCAATTGTGAGTGTGGGGGAAGTTCGTGAGGCAGTGGGTAAAATGAAAGGGGGTAAGGTAGCTGGGATTGATGGCATAAAGATAGAAATGTTAAAAACAGGTGGGGATATAGTTTTGGAGTGGTTGGTGCTATTATTTAATAAATGTATGGAAGGGGGTAAGGTACCTAGGGATTGGCAGAGAGCATGCATATTTCCTTTGTTAAAGGCAAAGGCGACAAAAGAGAGTGCAAAAATTAGAGGGGGATAAGTCTGTTGAGTATACCTGGTAAAGTATATGGTAGAGTTATTATTGAAAGAATTAAGAGTAAGACGGAGAATGGGATAGCAGATGAACAAGGAGGCTTTAGGAAAGGTAGGGGGTGTGTGGACCAGGTGTTTACAGTGAAACATATAAGTGAACAGTATTTAGACAAGGCTAAAGAGGTCTTTGTGGCATTTATGGATTTGGAAAAGGCGTATGACAGGGTGGATAGAGAGGCAATGTGGCAGATGTTGCAGGTGTATGGTGTAGGAGGTAGGGTTTCTGAAAGCAGTGAAGAGTTTTAACGAGGATAGTGAGGCTCAAGTTAGAGTATGTAGGAAAGAGGGAAATTAATTTCCCAGTAAAAGTAGGCCTTAGACAAGGATGTGTGTGTCACAGTGGTTGTTTAATATATTTAAAGGGTGGGGTTGTAAGAGAAGTAAATGCGAGGGGTCTTGGCAAGAGGTGTGGAGTTAAAAGATAAAGAATCACACATAAAGTGGGAGTTGTCACAGCTTTCTATTTGCTGATGACACTGTGCTCTTGGGAGATTCTGAAGAGGAAGTTGCAGAGATTGGTGGATGAATTTGGTAGAGGGGTGCAAAGGGAAAAAAATTAAAAGTGAATATAGGAAAGAGCAAGGTAATGAGGATAACAAAAAATTAGGTGATGAAAGATTGGATACAGATTGGAGGGAGAGAGTATGGAGGAGGTGAATGTATTCAGATATTTGGGAGTGGACGTGTCAGCGGATGGGTCTATGAAAGATGAGGTGAATCATAGAATTGATGAGGGGAAAAGGATGAGTGTGCAATTAGGAGTCTGTGGGACAAAGAACTTTGTCCTTGGAGGGAAAGAGGGGAAAAGTGTGAGAGTATAGTTTTACCAATGCTCTTACATGGGTGTGAAGCATGGGTGATGAATGTTGCAGCAAGGAGAAGGCTGGAGGCAGTGGAGATGTCATGTCTGAGGGCAATGTGTGGTGTGAATATAATGCAGAGAACTCGTAGTTTGGAAGTTAGGAGGAGGTGCGGGATTACCAAAACTGTTGTCCAGAGTGCTGAGGAAGGGTTGTTGAGGTGGTTCAGACATGTAGAGAGAATAGAGCGAAGCAGAGTGACTTCAAGAGTGTATCAGTCTGTAGTGGAAGGAAGGCAGGGTAGGGGTCGGCCTAGGAAAGGTTGGAGGGAGGGGGTAAAGGAGGTTTTGTGTGCGAGGGGCTTGTACTTCCAGCAGGCATGCGTGAGCGTGTTTGATAGGAGTGAATGGAGACAAATGGTTTTTAATACTTGACGTGCTGTTGGAGTGTGAGCAAAGTAACATTTATGAAGGGGTTCAGGGAAACCGGCAGGCCGAACTTGAGTCCTGGAGATGGGAAGTACAGTGCCTGCACTCTGAAGGAGGGGTGTTAATGTTGCAGTTTAAAAACT